GAAATTGTGTTCTACAGTTTTCCATCTATAATGCTTTATTGATTGGACTATAAGGTGACGAATAGGGCATGAATATCGGAATCTCGGAATCTCGTAATATCGGAATCTCGGAGTACGAGATCCGATATTACAATTCCGATATTGAATGATCCAATATCGTAATATCGGAATCAGATAAAGGTTTTAATTTAGATTTTAAACAAAGCGTTTAAACGCGCCACAACCAGAAACAAAGCCCAAAGTACATAATTGGCAAAGACCAATGATTTTCTCATGTCTCTCACCATCACTTTTTGTCCCACTGCAAATATTTATGGTTAATTTAACTTGTTCTAAAACAATTTTAGCACTTGCCGTACTTGGTCTTAGCAATGAAAAACGACATCTCAACTGCCTTCCAAACATTAATTGGACTATGGCCCATCAGTTCTGCGTACATGTGCCCTGCCCATTGTCACTTCAGCTTGCTAGTCCGTCGGTCTATGTCAGCGGCTTTAGTTCGTTTACGGAGCTTCTCATTTCTCGTCGATCTCGTAAATAAACACCAAGCACAGCCCTCTTCATAGCATGCTGTGCAACTTTGAGAGGGCACCTTCCCGAGCCGTATATCATGACTGGTAACACACACTGATTGAAGACTTTCGTCTTTAAGCACTGAGGTATTTTGGACGAAAAGATGTTGTGTAGTTTCCCGAAAGCGGCCCAGCTGAGTAAGTTTCGACGATTTACCGCTTTCTCGAAATTGCATCTACCTAGCTAAATCGTTTGTCCGAGGTATGCTACCTCGGACAAACGATTATACCAACAACAACATGGTCACAAGCTTCGTTTTGTCCATCTTCATCCGAAGGCCTGCCTGTTGGGAGACTCGATTAAGGTATTCGAGCATTGTGCCGAGGTGTTCTAGCGATTCCGCCCTTGTATGCAAAATTGACGGCCAATGGGGCAGCAAGGTTCTGGAGTGGAGGCCACGTACCGGAAAGCGCAGCGTAGGGCTGCCATCCACAAGGTGGACCGACGACCTAATAAAGGTAGCAGGAAGGCGATGGATGCAGGCCGCCACCCACCGGCCATTGTGGAAATTATTGGGGGAGGCCTATGTTCAGCAGTGGACGTCCTATGGCTGAAATGATGATGATGAGGATGGCCCGTGGTTTTGTGAGTTGTACATCGATAATCAAAAAGAAACAAATTACAAGCATACTCAAGTTTTTTACCACTACCTAAAATTTTTGTAACATGTAACTTGAATGACTTTACAAATCGTTCTGCCAGTGTTGGTTGAAGGGGTAAAAGTTTGTTTGATACCTGTTTTACAAAAGCACTTAAATTATTTGCTAGTCCATATTGGCTCATTATCAGTAACCAAATGCAATGGATACCCATAACATACAAAAATGGTTTTAAATACTTCAATTTTATCATTTTAAGCGGTGCTGTTTCGTACGAAATTAAAGATTTTGATGAAAATCATTATTTTACTGTATACAATCGAGAAATGTTACGAATATAACCAAATATTCAATTTATAACACATAAACTCAATTCCGATATTAATATCGGAATTCCGATATTGAGATCTAATATCGGAAACCAATATCGGAATTGAAAACCTTCCGATATTACATGCCCTAGTGACGAACCTTTTCATTCTGCGACTGTACATACTCATCTCTTTCTCGCATCTTGTCCTCATTTATCTTCTACATAATTTTCTGTATTTAAAGATTTTTCGTTTTTCTGTCCCCTCAACGCATTGCTAAAATCACATCTGCGTTCTGTTCCCAACTGAAGCTACGAGTATAATTCCAAGTCGCTTCTCTTGCTTTATTCTGAATTGTATAACTTTTCCCCGTGTACAGGGTTTTATTTTTCTTATTCTTCTATATTTATGGATCATGTAAAAGAGATGTAGCTTAAATGGAAATGGAATTGGAAATATTTCATCATGGAGTAAGATATGTTTTCAATCGAAGATTTTATAGTTAGTTCTAATAGTTATAGAATCTCCTAGCTGGCATCGTCCATCATTTCAGCCACAGGACGTCCACTGCCGAACAAAGGCCTCTCCCAATGATTTCCTGATTGACCGGTTGATGGCAGCCTATATCCATGCTGGTGCCTTTATGAGGTCGTCTGTCCACCTTATGAGTGGAGAAGCGCAGCGTGCGCTTTCTGGTACCTGGCCTCCACTCGAGAACCGTCAGTTCTGTGTACTATGTGCCCTGCCCGTTGCCACTTCAGCTTGCTAATCTGTCTATGTTGACAACTGATGTTCGTTTACGGATTTCCTCATTCCTGATTACCGAGCTAACATCTAGCTGTATACTTAATAAAATATTTGATACTAGCTTTTGCCCGCGGCTTCACCCGCGTGAAATTTAGTGTCACAGATCGGCATAAATTATAGCCTATAATGTTAATCTGGATCACAAACAATAATACTGTAAAGTTTCAACAAATCCGTTCAGTAGTTTTTGCGTGAAAGAGTAACAAACATCCAGACAGCCAAACTTTGGCATTTATAATATTAGTAGGATTTTGTCAGCAAAAGTGTATAGTCGGATTTGCTATCGACTGTAGGTACCTTATACGTAGGCGTCTCATTAAAAGCCGCTTGCGTAGGACTGTCAATATAATTTGTGCAACGAACACCCACCCACCCACACACCCACCACTGTACATAGGAATACGGAAAACATGAAGATGAATCTATGGTCAGGGTTTCCCAAACTGTAAAACGTGAACCCTAGAGGGGACTGTCATAACGGTTGTCGGGATATTTCAAGGCCATTACAGCCATTGATAGTCACAGTCATAAAAGTAATTTATTTATTGCGTTTAAGCTTTTAAAAAGCGCTTTTACACATCACATTAAACCAAAGCTTCAGGACAATAATGTGGGCCGGTGTTGGGTGGGAAGAAGCAGCGCATGAACGCAATCACTATTGTCAGCCTCTTTTTCAAAGTTTTACAAAGAGTAGATACCATACTGGCTACTACATAGATAATACTGTAATAATGTACTTTTTTTTAATAATCATGAAGACAATGATTATTCAAAAAAATCGAAAATAAAAACAATATTACTTTTGTTTAAAGACTTGCTTATTGAAATTAGGTCAGTTTAATATGTCTGAAGAAAGTGTAAAATATATTTGAGAATTTTCATCAAAATGTTGGGAAACGTATCTACTTGCTATTGAAAGACGTCATATTGAAGACTCTTTCCCTTTTCCAACAAACAAAGTGCAAAGAAAATGTCAATATGAATGTATCTGGTATTTAACCATTAAATATTAATATGTAGGTATCTACGACGAACTTAGATAGGCCATTTTATCCAAGTAAAAAATAAATGTAATTTTAGGTTTTCAAAGTTTAAGGCTGAGTTGCACCATTTTACTTTAACTTTGACAAACGTCAAAAATTTTTCAAACTCCATACAAAAAGCACCGGTTATTGTTTTTTTTACTGTTAAAGTTAGGTGGTGCAACTCAGCCTAAATAAATATTGAAAACCTAAAATTACAATTTGTTTCACGAACACCTTATTGTATGGCCAAAGTGAGAAAAGATGTCTCAAGAACATTTTTAGCCCAAGTGGGCGTCATAAAATGCGGGGTCCTTTGACTTTAACTCGATAGAAATGTAAGTAAGCATGTCAAATTAAGTTGGAGTGTGGGCGTTTCCCTGAATTTTCCTTCACGAAAACCTTGGTCGTGTAAAACTAAAAGTGGATTATTTTTAGGTAAAACGTTTTTGTAATGTGGTTTTACTGACAATTACCTACCCTCTAAACGTTGTTAATAGTGGAAATGTTTCTTCGTCGTAATATTTTAATTAGGCAAGAAAATAAGACGTATAAATAAGAGATATATTTTATACATAGTGTCGTAGTGATTTAGAGATCTTTAATAAGGTAGGTAATAACTTTAGATGTAAGACCTTGTTTCTTTTCTGTATCGTAAGTTACTGGAAAAATTAGATGTACCATCATTTTTCATTGCGTTGACTTTAAAATACTGCAAGTAGAGCCACAGAAAAAGGACTGTTGTAGAGCTTAGTATTTCATGTTAAATTGTACATTATCTCTAAACTTTCATCCTATGTATGTAACAAGTTCAAACTGACAAACGAACCATGGACTGATCTATAATAAGTATTTAGCTGTTCTTCTTTTTTTATTTGATGTACAGAACCCTACAAATGGAAATGGCGCACCGGTCGCCACGGAAAGAAACTTTTAAAAGTAATAACACTTAAATTGTTTCTTGAAGAGTTATCATAAAAATTGGTGAACCAATAAAATACTTTTTCGTAACTCGAGTTCAAAACAATAATCAGGTCACCGTCCTTTGAGACTTAAAAGAAAAATTCGCAACTTCAACCCACAGTGTATTCAAAATGTTTATCACCATTCCCTTGCAGTAATAAGTGGTGTATTTCTTTTTTTGTGGGATAATTTTGAAGTATGTATCTTTCGTCTTTTGTTTTTCAATGTAGTTTCTTTTTTCAGAATAGTAGGGCGGGTTTTACCACAGATGACTAGTTACTGGTTTTCTTTTTTCCGGGAGTGTAAGTGGCCAGTGTCGGTTTTAGTTGACAAATCCATTTGCGCGGGAAACCAGACTGCATGGTGTTGCGATTTATTCCTCTTGCAAGACCTTATGAACCTTACAAAAAAACATAGGTGTTGATACGTTCACTCCTTACTATATCGAGCAAATCCGTTAGTAGAAGCTAACGTTTTGCCAAAAATATAACTTCTGTAAATTATTTAGTTAACCTTAGCATTGAGATACCTAAAATACTATAAAGTTAAATATCTGTAACTTATGTAAGTACCTACTCAATATTGACTAATTTCTATACGATCGACAATGTGTTCAAATCGATTAAACACAGTTTTTAGAGTTGTTCTATTTTACAATAATCAAGCAGCTTCAGTTGTTTGCTGAGTATTTTTGTGTTTTACCAAGTATATTTTTCTTCTTCCAGAATTAAAAGAAGCCTTGCAGACGGCCAGGACCCAGGAGATCAGGATACCGTTCGGCGTAGGAGTTGCTGGACTGGCTGCTCAGACCAAACACCCCATCAACATCAAGAATGCTTATGCTGATCCCAGGTAATTCCCCATTTTGCTCCTCCTCCTGCTGTGAAGATAAAATGACCCGTAGATGATGAGTGTTGACTCATCATCATCATCTCGTCGAGTTGTTCATTCTCATCAGAGACGTCTGATCTCTCTAATTTACCAGAAAAGGGACGCCTATTAGAGAGGATGGTCCTCCAGCATTGTTAATGTAGTATCATAAAAAAGCAGCTGATAAAGGTAGCAGGAAGGCGCTGGATGCAGGCCCCTGCCAACCGGGTGATGTGGCAATCATTGAGGGAAGCCTATTCAGCAATGGACGTCATGTAGCTGAAATAATGATGATGATGAGTGTAGAATATTTGGTGAAGTAAATAAAGAGGTCACTGTTAGTCTACTTAAGAAAATGGATCAGCTTCTTAGTCTATCTACCTGATGTGCTAATCTGATGTACAGTCGACAGTATGTCAACGTAAACACTGTGGTATCTTACGTAGTTGCGATAGGGGCGACTTTGCAATGAAAGTGTATAGCTTGATGTGCTGTCGACTGTACCTACTTATAAGCAGTAAACATTTATAACAGGGATTTTGTCGTTAAGAAATTACTATTTTACATTTCTAACAAACATTGATCTAATTATTTTCAGATTCAACAGCGAAATCGATGCGCGCACAGGCTACAAGACGGAGCTGATACTGTGCATGCCCATCTGCAATTATGAGGGTGAAGTGGTGGGCGTGGCGCAGATTATCAACAAGACTGATGGTTAGACCCATCTTATACTATTTATTATTATTATTTACTACAGAAATAGCTTTTATTTCGTAGATCGTAGAAAGTAGTTTTGTAGAAAGGCGATCTAATCAACAGGCTTTGCCAAACAGAACAGTTTCTAGCGCGCCGTAAAGCGTAAGATTGATGTTAGACCGACTTTATACGATGGAACTGCTGAAATGGATTTTATTTCATATGCCAGAAAGAGGGTTTAGTTAACATATTGTTATGGCTGTGTCAAAAAGAACGCATTCCTAGCGCGCGGTATACCGATTAACTGAATCAGAATCACTTATCAATTCGCAATGAAATGGAAGCTGTTACATGTTTTTTTTGTCTGTCGACAATCATAAACAGTGTGACCTTACCTATTCCTATTTTTCATCAGGTTCAAAAGAGTTCTCCCCACGCGATGTCGAAGTCTTCCGCCGGTATCTCACCTTCTGTGGGATTGGGATCCAAAACGCGCAGCTATTCGAGTCCTCAATCCTGGAATACAAGAGGAACCAGATCCTCTTGGCCCTGGCGAGGAGTATATTCGAGGAGCAGAGCAACCTGGAGTGTTTGGTGACCAAGATCATGACGGAAGCAAGGGAGTTGCTGAAGTGCGATCGGTGTGCGGTGTTCATATTGGACACTGATCATTGTGAATCGGTGAGTTAGTTTTTATTTTAAGCAGTTATTGAATGAAGTGACAATAATTGGTAGCATCACTAAAATTAATTACATAAATTTTGAGTTTGGGTCTTCAAAACTAAAAAAAATTTTTTTGTGAAGTATCGTTTAGAGACATTGCTCCTGAAATCATTGAATTTGGTTCATGCTGCCAACTACCCAATCATATTATATCCTTGGACATTTTACTTGATCAAATAAGGAACTACTTACATAAATGTTCCAGTAATATACCTACCTACAATATTACATAGTGTCAAACTTGTTGGCACCAGCTGATTTGTTATGTTCAACCAAATAAAAAAAGGTTTCGATAAATTTCCATTTCATTTGCTATATCTTTGCAGATAGGAATGGTTTAAACAAATATTAATCACCATTTAATTTTACAGAGTCACTTGGAGAGGATAGTCCAAAGGCCGGGTGGTAGACCTTCCACGACCTTAGCGCTGCCGCCACCAGCCCCCACCCGGTTCCACACGCTCTTTGAACTAGGAGCTCAGCAGTCCAGAACTACCCTCACTCCTCGGCATGACTACCGGTCGACACTAGCATCTATAGCATTGAAGGTATGTCACTTAACATCCAAACCAATCCAAACCTTTGACCTTAAGGCTTAGCATTCCAGAAAAATAGCCATGCCTTGACTGGAGCTGGGTTGCTGGTGGGCTACCAGCAACCCAGTTCCACACATACTAACTAGTTAAGTGCTCAGAGGCTTGAAGCATTTACGAGTACTTGCATCATCTANGTTGCGATAGGGGCGACTTTGCAATGAAAGTGTATAGCTTGATGTGCTGTCGACTGTACCTACTTATAAGCAGTAAACATTTATAACAGGGATTTTGTCGTTAAGAAATTACTATTTTACATTTCTAACAAACATTGATCTAATTATTTTCAGATTCAACAGCGAAATCGATGCGCGCACAGGCTACAAGACGGAGCTGATACTGTGCATGCCCATCTGCAATTATGAGGGTGAAGTGGTGGGCGTGGCGCAGATTATCAACAAGACTGATGGTTAGACCCATCTTATACTATTTATTATTATTATTTACTACAGAAATAGCTTTTATTTCGTAGATCGTAGAAAGTAGTTTTGTAGAAAGGCGATCTAATCAACAGGCTTTGCCAAACAGAACAGTTTCTAGCGCGCCGTAAAGCGTAAGATTGATGTTAGACCGACTTTATACGATGGAACTGCTGAAATGGATTTTATTTCATATGCCAGAAAGAGGGTTTAGTTAACATATTGTTATGGCTGTGTCAAAAAGAACGCATTCCTAGCGCGCGGTATACCGATTAACTGAATCAGAATCACTTATCAATTCGCAATGAAATGGAAGCTGTTACATGTTTTTTTTGTCTGTCGACAATCATAAACAGTGTGACCTTACCTATTCCTATTTTTCATCAGGTTCAAAAGAGTTCTCCCCACGCGATGTCGAAGTCTTCCGCCGGTATCTCACCTTCTGTGGGATTGGGATCCAAAACGCGCAGCTATTCGAGTCCTCAATCCTGGAATACAAGAGGAACCAGATCCTCTTGGCCCTGGCGAGGAGTATATTCGAGGAGCAGAGCAACCTGGAGTGTTTGGTGACCAAGATCATGACGGAAGCAAGGGAGTTGCTGAAGTGCGATCGGTGTGCGGTGTTCATATTGGACACTGATCATTGTGAATCGGTGAGTTAGTTTTTATTTTAAGCAGTTATTGAATGAAGTGACAATAATTGGTAGCATCACTAAAATTAATTACATAAATTTTGAGTTTGGGTCTTCAAAACTAAAAAAAATTTTTTTGTGAAGTATCGTTTAGAGACATTGCTCCTGAAATCATTGAATTTGGTTCATGCTGCCAACTACCCAATCATATTATATCCTTGGACATTTTACTTGATCAAATAAGGAACTACTTACATAAATGTTCCAGTAATATACCTACCTACAATATTACATAGTGTCAAACTTGTTGGCACCAGCTGATTTGTTATGTTCAACCAAATAAAAAAAGGTTTCGATAAATTTCCATTTCATTTGCTATATCTTTGCAGATAGGAATGGTTTAAACAAATATTAATCACCATTTAATTTTACAGAGTCACTTGGAGAGGATAGTCCAAAGGCCGGGTGGTAGACCTTCCACGACCCTAGCGCTGCCGCCACCAGCCCCCACCCGGTTCCACACGCTCTTTGAACTAGGAGCTCAGCAGTCCAGAACTACCCTCACTCCTCGGCATGACTACCGGTCGACACTAGCATCTATAGCATTGAAGGTATGTCACTTAACATCCAAACCAATCCAAACCTTTGACCTTAAGGCTTAGCATTCCAGAAAAATAGCCATGCCTTGACTGGAGCTGGGTTGCTGGTGGGCTACCAGCAACCCAGTTCCACACATACTAACTAGTTAAGTGCTCAGAGGCTTGAAGCATTTACGAGTACTTGCATCATCTATTTAATTCTTCTTGACTTGCCATTGTCAGTTTTATCAATTCACTATCAATGTCGTTAAAGACTCCAGCAGGAACATACCCTTTCTAATTTAGCAGAAGCAAAAAAGTATAATTATAAAGCTTGATCGTATCTTCATCATCATCATTATTTCAGCCATAGGACGTCCACTGCTGAACATAGGCCTCCCCCAATGCTTTCCATGTTGATCGAATGGTAGCGGTCTGCGTCCAGAGCTTCCCGCTACCTTTATGATGTCGTCGGTCCACCTTGTGGGTGGACGACGTCCTACGCTGCGTTTTCCGGTACGCGGCCTCCATTCCAGAACCTTGCTGCCCCTTCTGCCGTCAGTTCTGCGTACTATGTGCCCTGCCCATTGCCACTTCAGCTTGCTAATCCGTCGGCTTGATCGTATGATTTAAAACAAAAATCTCTTAGGCTGAGTTGAACGACAACCGGTGCTTTTTGTATGGAATTGGACAGGTTTTTGACGTATCATAGTGACGAAACATTTCCCATATTATTTTTTTATATTACCTACTTGAAAAATTGTAACACCTACTGATGTAAACCCATTTTCGCAAAATATATGATTTGATTTGATATTTTCAGGTGGCCCAGTCCAACAAGTCCCTGAACATAACCGACTTAGCTGACTGGAGGAAAGAGAACAAAATGACGGCGTCCGACCCGGCGGCGGACGACGCTGCCGAAGTCAGGACGATGCTGTGCATGCCGATCGTCAATGCCAATAAGGATGTGATTGGCGTAGCACAGCTTATCAATAAGGTTGGTTAACTAGACGACCTGGCGAACTTCGTACCGCCAAACCATTGAGTTATAATGTACTGCCAAACAGACCATTTTCCAATGAGGTACAGTCAGCGTCAAATAGTTCGTGACGCCCAAAGTAGCCAAAAAGTTCTCAACGCGTATTTGTTACACAAGGTTATGTTGTCAACTTTGGGTATCATCATTTGACGCTGACTACGTCGCGGACTACCCGTATTAAATACACTAAAAACATTACCCTCCTTTTTGGGGTAGTCAGGTACAAAGTAGACTGTAAAAGTTAACCCAGGGTGTCAGCAATTCCCATACCAAACATCAAAATTCATACAATTATTATTCGTCCAAGTTCTTGAGTTATAAATTTTCTAACTAACACGACTTTGTATTTACAACATTCTACTCACAAAGATGTTTTTAAAAATGCTTTTTCATTTCAGGAAAATGGCTCCCAATTCTCAGACGGTGACATCTCGATATTCGAGGCGTTCGCCATCTTCTGCGGTCTCGGCATCCACAACACACAGATGTACGAAAACGCTTGCAAATTGATGGCCAAACAAAAGGTAAAACTTTATCAAGAACTCACTGTATTTTATTTATAAGAGTCAAAGAACCAAACTTTCCAAAAACCACCTTTAATTAAAGCCCCGTGTCATAAATCTATTTTAAAAACCTAACTTTTCGAAGACTCTTCATTTATTAAACATAATTTTCCGAAAACCCAACTTTCACAAAAATTACTTAAGTATAAAATATGTGACGTCACAAAATTTAGAAACTCGTCCTACTTGTCACACCACACAATAAGCATACTCAAAACAAAACCTAATTTCGATAACCTAACTCTTCGAATACCTTTCCGAAAACCCAACTTTCGCAAAAATTACTTAAGATGTAAATTAAGCACTAGAGATGGGTTATACTAGGTAAAGATACTAGATGCACCTATTCCTAGTTTTTATTAATACTCGATCCAAATACCTATTCCACCTAGTGCGTAGTAATTTAGCATACTTGACGCGACTAGTGCGGACTAAACCACGTAATATGACTTTAAAATACAATTTTTTTTGAAAAGATACAACCGTAGTATGAATAATGCAATTTGAAATTAAATAATAATTCCTCCCTTCATACTTCAACAGGCTTAGGACTGTCAACTTAAAAGTTGGCGTATTTAAAAGATATCAATTTCATAAAAATATTTACATATTTTTTCTTATTTAGATGAATATGGTTTGACTACGTTTGTGTGCGTTTGCTTCGTCGCGCTCAAATTTGTTTGGTCAGACAGACGGAGTGAATCTCTACGTTCGCACATAAGCTTAGCGAGAAATACTAGGTGCGCGTAATACACGACTACGGATTACGCAATAATAACCTCTATTACTTTGATGGTAGGGTCGGAAATCGTCTAATTTATAAAATACTAGGTGGATCAAGTATTTAAAAAATTGGAATAGGTGCCGCCTAGTACTGTAAAATACCTATACAACCGTAGTATGAATAATGCAATTTGAAATTAAATAATAATTCCTCCCTTCATACTTCAACAGGCTTAGGACTGTCAACTTAAAAGTTGGCGTATTTAAAAGATATCAATTTCATAAAAATATTTACATATTTTTTCTTATTTAGATGAATATGGTTTGACTACGTTTGTGTGCGTTTGCTTCGTCGCGCTCAAATTTGTTTGGTCAGACAGACGGAGTGAATCTCTACGTTCGCACATAAGCTTAGCGAGAAATACTAGGTGCGCGTAATACACGACTACGGATTACGCAATAATAACCTCTATTACTTTGATGGTAGGGTCGGAAATCGTCTAATTTATAAAATACTAGGTGGATCAAGTATTTAAAAAATTGGAATAGGTGCCGCCTAGTACTGTAAAATACCTAGTGTGTGTATCTGTTCTAGTAAATACGTCTCATCTCTATTAAGCACCTCTCCCATTTTGTTATAACTACCATCATTACTTCAGTAGGTATTCATCATCCATCATTATTATCATATCAGCCATAGGACGTCCACTGCTGAACATAGGCTTCCCCCAACGATTTCCATATTGATCGGTTGGTAGAGGCCTCGTATTAATCACCAACGTTTTATAGGTGGCGTTAGAGTGCCTGTCGTACCACGCGACGGCATCCACCGAAGACACAACCAAGCTCTGCCAAGACATCATACCCTCGGCAGAGATTTACAATCTTTACAGCTTCCAGTTCCATGGTGAGAACTTAACCAATAATAAACCATTTCTTTTAAAAGAACGCTAGTTTTTACATAAATATTTTTACTAATGTGGGTAGTGTAAACAATTTGTATATGCAACATTTGAAAAATGAGGTGTGTCGCAGTACTGTCCAAGTCTTATAAGTACACTGACGTAAATAACTATAAAGTTTTGGAGCGATTGTTTTGAGATAAATTTATCACGACTGATTTAAGGTAAGTGATAGATAAAGTGAATTCCGTAACAAGTGGGTTAATAAAAAGCTAAGGTGTTTATTTGTTTGATCGCGCTAATCTTAGGGACTAAACGATTTGAAAAATTTGTTTTGAGTTGGATAACCCATTTACCAAGGGAAGCTATACTCGTATATACCATCATGCTACGGCCAATAGGAGCAGAGGATCAATGAAAAATGTTGCGAAAACAGGAAAAAATATTTAAACCATTTTCGCGCTTACCACAACGCTAAATTTAGTCAAAAGGAGAGACTTACGCCCGTTTTCACCATCAATCCCTATAATTTTTAACCCATATTATTTTATGCCCAGAGGCACGAAAACGACCAAATGGTATAAGTTCTCTTGCGATGCCTATAAAAGAAACTTAACTATGCCAAATTACATAAAAATTAAATATTGAAATAGTTTTGGGTATTTAAGGGTTGTTGTGACCCCTATGGTAACACTTAACAGGCATTTTGTTTTTTAAGAGTCACTTAAAAATAGGGACTGATGGTGAAAACGGGCATTATTCCTTTAGCCCCATATTACAAGTTCTGCAGATTACACATGGGATAATCTGATTCTGTGCGGTAGTTTTAAGAGTCAATTTACTACACCTTTAACGGGCTACATTTTCCATTTCAGACTTCGATCTTTCTGATGAAGACACATGCAGAGCAACGCTGCGAATGTTCCTACAGTGTAACTTGGTTGAGAAATTCCACATACCTTACGATGTACGTATAATTAGCTTACTCATATTTTGTAGCAATATTACTGCAATGATTGATAACATTTTTCAGAATTAAGATTTTCAATGCGATGAAAAGAGCCTCCCATTAAATCGTTTCCTAAAAGCAGTTGCACGTTTCAACCAATATTTAAAAAACTAGATACGCTTTGGTGCTACTTACTCTATTCGGTAAAGTCTGATGCTTGTGACCTCAGTTATTAGTGGTGTCGTCCAAGGGTCGATATTTGAACCTATACTTTTTACTTTGACTTTGACTTCGTCTTCCTACCTATATGTAGAATTTCAATAACCACTGGATTCATAATTATGTAGTTCACTTTGTCTGAAAACTTCTAAAATTCTTAACTATCATTTGATTTTCTTTTAGGTCTTATGCAGATGGATCCTAAGCGTGAAGAAGAACTACCGACCAGTCAAATACCACAACTGGAGGCACGCTCTCAACGTCGCACAGACCATGTTTGCGATGTTGAAAACGGGCAAAATGGAAAGGTTCATGTCAGATCTAGAAATCCTGGGACTACTAGTCGCTTGTCTATGCCACGATCTGGATCATAGAGGAACGAATAACGCGTTCCAGACAAAAACTGAGAGTCCGCTGGCGATTTTGTATACGACGTCCACTATGGAACATCATCATTTCGATCAGTGCGTCATGATTTTGAATAGCGAGAGCAATAATATTTTCCAGGTTAGTAAAAATATGTTTAGTTCAAATTCTTAAGCCACATACAAATTAACTGCGCACCGGCGGCCGTGACGTCACATCGCACGCACGGTACGGACGGGGTGAACGCGGGGAGGTGTGCGGGTAAGTGAGGGGAGAGTCGCACTCTAGCTAGGTGCGCAGTTAACTCGATTGGCTTGTACTTACATATTTACATACATCATCTGGTGTAAGATAATTAACTTTTAAAAAAAATAAAACCGACTTCAAATGCGTGAACACAAAAAAAAAACTAAAAATTAAAAATATTGCGTATAAAAAAGTTCATCCCCAATTTTCCACCCTTGGGGGTTGTTTTTCTATTATTAAATTTAAATGGGACCACCCTTGAGGTATTACCTATACGCCGAAAAAAGATTTGTTCAAATCGGTTCATAATTGGCGGAGTTATCGCGTAACAAACATAGAAAAAAAAAACATACGGGTCGAATTGAGAACCTCCTCCTTTTTTGAAGTCGGTTGAAAATCTTTGTATGAAATTATCACTTCACGGAATTTATTGCAACAATATCTATTTTAACGGTAAATAATATTTGTCGGACTGACTGTACCACTGACGAAAATATTGTGCAAATGCGGGTGGGTGAAGAAAACTCATCGCGCCGGAGCAGACGACGTCGCATCTCTTCAGTCTGCCCGCGACCATGACTCGTGCAACCGAGCCGAATCGTCGGGAGGGTAAATATGATTTACCGTTAAAATAGATATTGTTGCAATAAATCCCGTGAAGTGATAATTTTATAGTAAAAAATGCAACATAATAGTTTAAAATATTGTCTTTGTATGGTTTACAAAACACTCAATAACTTCCAGGCCTTATCCCCCGATGACTACAAAGACGTGATGCGGGTAGTCGAGACCGCGATCTTATCAACCGATCTCGCGATGTACTTCAAGAAGAAATCCAANGACTACAAAGACGTGATGCGGGTAGTCGAGACGGCGATCTTATCAACCGACCTCGCGATGTACTTCAAGAAGAAATCCAAGTTCCTAGAGCTGGTCGACAACGGGGAGTTCGACTGGCAGAGTCAGGAGAAGAAAGAGTGTAAGTAATATCACAGGTAATATACCTACATAATCTCTTTTCTTGAGACAGACAATGTATGAAGCTTGAGACATTGAATTTGATTTTGAATTAAATTTTTGGATAGATCCAGTTTATTCTGCAACCGTGAAGCGCTTTCAAGATCAGTAACCAGTTTTTCGATATTTTGTATAGTTCAGAAATAATCGAGTGAAATCACTAATCGTTCGCACCCTATATCTTTGTCTAAAATAATAAACATATCAAATCTGAACCGTTGTTGGGCCATTTTCGCAATTTTTCTAGCGTCATTATCATCAAGAGTCATTCAGACTCCATTACAAGAAAGAAAGAAAGAAAGAAAGAAAGAAAGAAAAAACATTTATTTGGTACTAAATTACAGGAGCAAGACCTCCTCTAATTTACCAAGGACAATTGGAGGGTTTGGCCAATACTTCTCACGCTGGTTAGATGAGTTGGAGAGCCCTAATTATCGCATATTTTACTCCCTTATAGTCTCTTTTTACAAAATTCACGGAAATCCTTGCCTATTAGTTACCATCAAGGGTGACCAGCAATAAAGTCCCATTAACCTTTCTTTTTAAACCATTTTCACTAACAAAACTGTATTTCCCAGTGCTCTGCGGTATGATGATGACAGCGTGCGACGTGTCAGCGATCGCGAAGCCTTGGGAGGTGCAGCACAAGGTGGCCAAGCTGGTGGCCGATGAGTTCTTTGACCAGGGAGATTTGGAGAAGCTTCAGCTAAACCAGCAGCCCATCGCTATGATGGACAGGTATGTCATAATAACTTTAACTAACTCTTTATATGGTAGCGGGAATATACCCTATATAAAATATGATTTTATTATCAGTATCCAATTTTTTTTCTACAGAACAATTTAACAATACAACTTTGTCTTTAATTATGTTTAATCGTGGTATTTTTCGCGAAAAAGTCGCAATCGCACCTAGTGTTAAGTGAGATGCAGTCTAGGATGGTACATAACTGCCCTATAAGTGCCTTTCACTCTCGCCTCGAAAAGGCCCGGGTTATGGTGTTTGGGAAAGACAGCAGCAGGCAGCGAATACCAGTCCCTAGCTGTTCGCATTATAAAAGAGTTATCGAATTCTCTCTATTGTCTAACATTAATACAGAAGCTCAAAGTTGCACAGCGTGCTATGGAGAGGGCTATGCTTGGTGTTCTTTGCGAGATCGAATCAGAAATGAGGAGATCCGTAAACGAACTAAAGTCGCTGACATAGCCCGACGGATTAGCAAGCTGAAGTGGCAATGGACAGGGCACATAGTACGCAGAACTGACGGCCGATGGGGCAGAAAGGTTCTGGAATGGAGGCCGCGTACCGGAAAACGCAGCATGGGACGTCCACCTACAAGGTGGACCGACGACATCGTAAAGGTAGCAGGGAAGCGCTGGACGCAGGCCGCTACCAATCGATCAACATGGAAAGCATTGGGGGAGGCCTATATTCAGCAGTGGACGTCCTATGGCTGAAATGATGATGATGATGATGATGATGATGAACCCAGTCCAGCCAACGGCAACTAACAATACCTAAACATTACGATTCCAGAGAGAAGAAAGACGAGCTTCCACAAATGCAAGTGGGCTTCATCGACATGATATGCCTGCCTCTCTACAAGGTTCTCTCAGATACATTCCCATGGATTCAGCCGCTGTATACCGGCACCATGGACAACAGGCAGCGCTGGCAAGACCTGGCTGAGAAGGTGGAGATGGGGCTGACGTGGATCGACCATGATACTATTGATAAACCTATAGAGGAGTTTACTGGTAAGTTGATTTTGTGTTTGAGCATTCTTATGCCCGTTTTCACCAACAATCCTTAATTTTGAAGTGACCCCTGGTATAGTCTGGTCTGTGAGCACGTAGAATTTTGTCCAATGACCCCAAGCTACCCATCTTTATCACTCGCGCGTAATTATGTTGCTGTCGCGCTCGCACACTCACTGCGGGCGCCCGTCGCACAGTCGCGACAGCAATATAATTACGCGCGAGTAAGGGAGTATAAGGATGGGTAACTTTGGGTCATTGGACAAAATTCTACGTGCTCACAGACCGGGCTTTAACACATAATAGGAACTTAAAAATTTTGGATTGATAGTGAAAACGGGCATTAGTTTTTCTACAATTACTAAGCTACAAGTAAGTTTAAATTTTTAATCAAAGAATTTTAAAGTAAAATGTTGAAAATAAAATTGGAATTGGCAAGTTGACAAGGATACGTACGGGCTCATATTCTATGCTTTTTGTTTAGAAAATCCTAATAAAACTTAAAAGCTTTTAACTCTTTTAAGTTTGATACACCGCGAATTGATCACAATACATAGAATAATATTATGAATTTAAGTTATGTCAACGTGGAAAACGATCTCCAAACAGCTGATACTATCGCCTAAAGAAACTTTCAGCCCAAATTACTTTTAGCCCATTATTACTCTATCTATCGCTGTTACTTACGCCAACATCTTGAAATTAATGAAAGAGATATACATAGAAATACCAAAACACAATAACAGCTTTTGTTAGTAGCCACATAAACAAACTTACGTAGGTCACCGTTTGGCTCACAGTAGGCACTTACTCTATCGTTTTTTTTTATCCACAACGAGGAAGCTCTTGGTCTGTATCTCACCTGATGGTAAGTGACGATCAGGCCGAAGGTGGAAGAGAGCTTCACCCGGAATCCTCAACCACGGAGGAACTGGCTATTTTGCGACTAACTGCCGGAACACAACAATGCTGTTAACATTGTTGTAATGGCGACAGACTTAGGTAAGATGGTGGTAGCTAGCTAGAACAGAAAAATCTGCCCCCACTGGGAATCGAACCCGGGACCTCTGCGTCTGAAGCAGGTGGTCTTACCACTAGACCACAGAGGCGGTTATCTCACTGTCACAATACTACTTTTCTTTCTCCTCAGCATCAAACGAACCCATCAAGGACGTGGAGTTAACAGTGACTACCCTCAACTGCGCCAAGACGGCGGCTGAGAGCAGCATGGCGCTGGTGAAGCCGATCAAGACTCCCTTCCATTCTTTGAGGAGAGGCAAGAGCGGGAACTTCACCTCCAGACCGGCTCGGAGTAAGCTTACCAGGTAATTTGAGAATTTAGATTCAAAATACTACCAACCTATTGGACATATTATACAGGGTGTTGATTTCAATACTCGCCATATTTAGGGAGTTGATTAAGTAGCTTATTCTGATCACGAATCAGTAAAAAAATTGACGTGGATTTTTTTTTAAACGAACTAACTTTAGTTAGTCAAAGAAAAATACCTATTTACACTACCTACTTTACGTGGCTTCCTTCAGTAGGTTATCCGACATGAGCGAGCGATCCGCGTAGCTCAATGGTGCCGCAAATGAAAACTATTGCAGTATTGCGAGCCACAGTACAGTCTGTTAATTTCGCACGGAAAAATTCCACTTTAGTTGTAATTTTTTTTGGTGGATAATGCGTTTATATAAGTCATAATATATCACCTAAATAAATATGACGAGGATCTATGAATATTGAAATCAACACCCTGTATATACATAACATATTATTTATGTGAGAAGCCACGATAGCCGAACGTTGAAGGGGTCGGACTGGCCGACTCGTGATCCGTGGAACGCGGGTTCGAATCCCGCCGCCGCTCGACTATTGTGGTGAGCCCACTCGTAACTTAGTACGAGGGGCTAACGGGGCTATTAATTAGTAATTAATGTGCAGTACAAATCACTAATAATCTATTATAAAATAAAAAAATCGTAATCCGATGTTGTTTCGCTGCAGTGTTTTTTGTGTACTCGTATGCTGTAAATAACACATTTACCTACCCACAAACTGTATTACATTTTATACATATTGCCTATTTCACTTCCATCCATTCGAACCGCCAGGATTAGGCCCCGTATTACGAAATATCACCCAAGACTCAATTTAGTCGTAAGTGTGGATTGAGACCTGTCAAAATTCAAATTCAACCAATCACAGTTAGGCCTCTATCGGATCACAAAATAGGAGAACAGCATAGTGAAAAGAAAACTAACACCCGTATTCACAAACGATACTTGCTTAAGTGAAGCAGCAAATTGAACGCACAGCGTTGAATAGAGCTCTGTGATTGGTTCGTGTATCATCCTGTGCGTCCTCGCGCACTGTGAGACCTCATAGTAATGTTTGTAAATACGGGCGTAGCCTTGTTGGGTTGGGTTTTTACTAGCGCTCAAGCTGAAGTCCTGGCTACACAAGAGCTTCATTAGTGAGAACGGGAGGTGGGAATAACCTCATAATCTAATTTTTGCTTTTGATTGCCATTGTTCCTTAAGGATTTTAATATCATCTGCGCATCGTTTCTTTTGCCATCACCACCAATCAGCTATAACCATAACAGTTGTAAAATCAAAGTGAAACCGAAGTCTGTTGCAGATCCCTCTACGTGGTACCAAGCAGTCAGCGCGAAGGCGAGAGAGAGAGGCCGATAGTGAAGAAACCGCCGAGTGCGGAGTCCAACCACACGAGCGGCGAAACCGAGACCAAAACGAAGCATAAGGGCCGCCTCTGTCATATGTTGTGACGACTAAGTTTCAACTGGTAAGTGGCGCGATTCAACTGTTAAGTGGCGCGTTTCAACTGATAAGTGGCGCGTTTCAACTGATAAGTGGCGCGTTTCAACTGATAAGTGGCGCGTTTCAACTGATAAGTTACACGTTTCAGTTGATAGATTACACGTTTCAGCTGATAAGTTACACTTTTCAGGTAATAAGTTACACGTTTCAATTGATAAGTGCCGCGTTTCAGCTGATAAGTGACGCGTTTCAACTGATAAGTGGCGCGTTTCAACTGATAAGTGGCGCGTTTCAACTGATAAGTGGCGCGTTTCAACTGATATGTGGCGCGTTTCAACTGATAAGTGGCGCGATTCAGCTGATAAGTTACACGTTTCAGTTGATAGTTTACACGTTTCAGCTGATAAGTTACACGTTTCATCTCATGTTTGACACGTGTCTGCTCATAAAATGTGACACGTTTCAGCTGATGTGTTACATATTTGAGCTGATGAAAGGACTATGAGTCCCATTACGACTATTTTCATTTCGTAAGCACTGAATACTGCAAAGTTCGTTAGAGTAAAAATTATAACAATTGTGTAAAATAAATGTCTAATCCGAAAAAGGAAGATGAAATAGTTTGTCAAGGGTTATGAAGTGTTTTTTTTTTTATATATTTTATTGTTCTCAATTTCGACTGCAATTTATTGGAATATTTTTCTTACAGGAGTAGCCAGAGCAGTACGGAAAAAGCCGACAAAGTGGACAGAGTAAAGCCGTCCAAATCGATCGACTAGTCCGCTCGGACGCTCCTTCACGTCTGTTAAACATTAGATACTTGTACATTTCGACTATTAGACACTTTTATATTAGCTAGAACAACGTGGGATACCTTTCGTTTCACTTGAACAAAATTATTAAAAATACATTGAATAATGCCATCCAAATTGTGGGGTAGATAGATGTAACTGTGCCGATTGCGTCTAAAATCCACGNGAAAAAGACTATAGGGTTAGATTCATAATGCGAAATAATCACCCAAGACTCAATTTAGTCGTAAGTGTAGATTGAGACCTATAATAGGTCTAAAAATTCAAGTTCAACCAATCACAGCTAGGCCTCTATCGTATCACAAAATAAGAGAACAGCATCCATTGTAAAGAGAAAACTTAGCCTTCACTGGTTGGGTTTTTATTGACGGTCAAGCTGTAGATCCTAGCTACACAGGAGTTTCATTGGTGGGAACGGGCGGTGGGAATAGCCTTATAACCTAATTTTTGCTTTTGATTGCCATTGTTCCTCAAGGACTTTAATACCATCTGCGCATCGTTTTTCTTTGCCATCACCCCCAATCAGCTATAACCATAACAGTTGTAAAATCAAAGTGAAACCGAAGTCTGTTGCAGATCCCTCTACGTGGTACCAAGCAGTCAGCGCGAAGGCGAGAAAGAGAGGCCGATAGTGAAGAAACCGCCGAGTGCGGAGCCCAACCACACGAGCGGCGAAGCCGAGACCAAAACGAAGCATAAGGGCCGCCTCTGTCATATGTTGTGACGACTAAGTTTCAACTGGTAAGTGGCGCGTTTCAACTGTTAAGTGGCGCGTTTCAACTGATAAGTGGCGCGTTTCAACTGATAAGTGGCGCGTTTCAATTGATAAGTGGCGCGTTTCAACTGATAAGTGACGCGTTTCAACTGATAAGTAGCGCGTTTCAACTGATAAGTGGCGCGTTTCAGCTGATAAGTTACACTTTTCAGTTGATAGATTACACATTTCAGCTGATAAGTTACACGCTTCAATTGATAAGTGGCGCGTTTCAACTGATAAGTGGCGCGTTTCAACTGATAAGTGGCGCGTTTCAACTGATAAGTGGCGCGTTTCAACTGATAAGTGGCGCGTTTCAACTCATAAGTGGCGCGTTTCAACTGATATGTTACACGTTTCAGCTGATAAGTTACACGTTTCAGCTGATAGTTTACACATTTCAGCTGATAAGTTACACGCTTCAGCTGTTAAGTTACACGTTTCAACTGATAAGTTACACTTTTCAGCTGATGAGTTACACGTTTCAACTCGTAAGTGGTGCGTTTCAACTGATAAGTGACGCGTTTCAACTTATAAGTGGCGCGTTTCAACTGATAAGTTGCGCGTTTCAGCTGATAAGTTGCACGTTTCAGTAGATAAGTGGCGCGTTTCAGCTGATAAGCTACACTTTTCAGTAAATAAGTGGCGCGTTTCAGTTGATAAGTTACACGTTTCATCTCATGTTTGACACGTGTCTGCTCATAAAATGTGACACGTTTCAGCTGATGTGTTACATATTTGAGCTGATGAAAGGGACTATTGGATCCCATAACCACTATTTAGCACTTAATACTGCAAAGTTCCTTAGACTAAAAATAATAATGTTTAAAATAAAACCTATCTGATCCGAAAAAGAATAGTTTTTCAGTCTGTCAGAGATTTTTCAAGCGTTTTTTTTAATAAAATTATTATGTTTTCAATGCAATTTATTGGAATATTTTTCTTGCAGGAGTAGCCAGAGCAGTACGGAAAAAGCCGACAAAGTGGACAGAGTAAAGCCGTCCAAATCGATCGACTAGTCCGCTCGGACGCTCCTTCACGTCTGTTAAACATTAGATACTTGTACATTTCGACTATTAGACACTTTTATATTAGCTAGAACAACGTGGGATACCTTTCGTTTCACTTGAACAAAATTATTAAAAATACATTGAATAATGCCATCCAAATTGTGGGGTAGATAGATATAACTGTGCCGATAGCGTCTAAAATCCACGCACGTGATTGGTTGTTCCACGAAAGGACAGTGTCATGCCAAAGGTATGAAACTTAAATAATAATCTTGTTCATTAAAACGAATTTTCGAGATGACACTAAAATGTAATTGTAGTATTTTAATCTCTACGTCGTCGTTCGACGGTATGGTTTCCTGTAAAATCTAGGTAAATGTTTATTCTAATTAATGTATTATTTACATAGACTGTGATCTAGTATTACTTCACGAGATTCTATTTTAAAACTACTAATTAGGACAGCCATAGACTCTGCTTGCTATTAAATAAAAACTTTTAACGTTTCAATAGATGAAAAAAAAACTTTTCTTAAAAATAAACAAAAATCTTCGTCTGTGGTCAACTATTTTACTTTTAAAATAGAATATTCGTCTCTTGGCCTGTGAAATAAAGTTTATGGAATAAAACCGTAAGTAATAAGTATGAATTAAGAGATTTTTAATAAGTTTACATAATATCCTCGATCAATTAAATTGTTGATAATTTATTTCAAGTTTTACTTTGTTAAAGCAGAAAGTATTAATATGATGCTAGTCGTTTAGTTTCAAATAATTCAAATGATGACACAATTATTAATATAATTATTACTTACATTATATTTTTTCTGAGGCGCGTTGAACTAATACGTCCATACTGCTTATGAAGCTATTAGAAGTGCAATATTTAGTTACAATAATTTTAGTTATGCTTATTTATAAAAAAAAAGGTTGCGAAGGTTATAAAAGAAAAATTATTTATAATAAATATTAAGTAGGCTCCTTCTGTTTTATGATAAGATTTCGTAAGAAGTGTATTATTTTAAATATTGTTTTATTTTTGCAAAAATAAAAGAGGATTTGTAGTTGATTAGTGAATTTTGTTGAATACGATGATTACTTACTAAAGAAGTAGCTTAGAAAAGTTTAAAGATTGACGAGTTTAAAACATTTCGTGATTAAATCTTCGCTAAGTTAAATAAAAAGCAATCATTTTAATAAAATAAAAAGTTAATTAAAAATTGTAATTCTTAACAAGTTCTTAAACCAAAACTAAAAGCATTTTACAGTAATTTTACATTTTAAATTCTATTTTGAAAGCCTTTTTAATAATTACATGTTTTAAAATGTGCAATTTTTGCTGTTGTTATAGATTTTAACTTGTATGTTAGAAAAATGATTAGGTTTTTTCAATTCTAACTTAGCTGGTACTAGTCATCGTTCTAACATATTGAGTTTTCATAGATTTCAGATGTTGTGAAATAGACTATAATAAACTTTGAATAGGGACTATTGTGACTGTATTTAACTTTATGTATTCAATTCTACAGATTTCCATCTCGTTTTCTTATAAACTGTGTTTAAAATTATGTTTTCCTCGATTTTTTTTTACTTCTGGGTATGAATTTTTTATTTTTAGTTAGACGATCAAAATGTTTTCCTAAAAAATGAGAGATCATGTAGGTAGTTTTACGAGCCCAATAAAAAAAACTAAAAATAACAAAAAACAAAAATCAAGTTTTATTGATCATTTGAAAATCAGAAATAATAACCCAGAAAAAAGAAGACGAACTCTCAATGCTTTATGCCCAGAAGTAAAAATAAAAAAAACATTGTATCACAACCCAAAGATTTATCCGTTACGCTTAGTTATAAACTAGAGTAAACCAAAAACAAGACAATGATATTTTGTTAAGTTTTAAGATATTTTTTTAACAAAGTTGTTGTTGTGTTTATCTGTGAAGAATTCTATTTTATTATCTGTCAACTCATAGCTAATGAGGATTTAGACTGGTTTTCTGAGTGGGTTTCATGATGTAACATAAGTTTTTACAGAACATTAATTCTGATAAACTCGTTGCACTCCTTTACGTCGTCGTGAATTCATGTAAAAAAATATACTACCTACCCGTAACTACAATAATATTACTATGTTAACGCAACACTTCATCTCTTAGATAGAAAAATGAAACATTGCATAATACCATTCATTTTCTGTCTCTACCTGTCAAAATGACGATTTCGCTGGATGAAAAGAGATCAACGTATTCTAGTTATTGGAATTTTGTATACCTACTGTACTTTTTTGTTCTTTTTACTGAAATTACTAAAAACATCATGAAACGGTCAGAAAACTCAGTCGATCACCAGTAAATCTGTAAAAATTACTCCTGGATGTTTTTCGACGAATTAAATATTGTGAAGAACAAGATCTTTTTTATTATTTCTCTATAATTACGCCAATTTTAAAGTTCAAAATTGAATAAAAAAAATAAAACCATAGAGTTTTTATTAAGTTCTTTTATTAAATTGGAGTCTGATAATGCGGTTTCGAAATTCGCCATGAGGCACTGGTCGGGAGACCACAGTGATCGCATTTGAGCAATATTAGAAATGCGACGAATCATCGGTTCGAGCGCGTCCCGCTTTTCATTCATCATCATCATCATTTCACCCACAGGATGTCCACTGCTAAACATAGGCAATGACTTCTACATCGCACGGTTGGTAGCGGCCTGCATCCAGCGCCTTCCTGCTGTCTTTATCAGGTCGTCGGTCTACCGTCCCACGCTGCGTTTTCCGGTACGTGGCCTCCACTCCAGAACCTTGCTGCCCCATCGGCCGTCAGTTCTGCTATCACTTTTAGTCTCATGATTATTCGACGGTAAAGTTGTGGCCCAAGCACACAACTTACCTCATCGTGAGTGCAAAAGTTCAGGCAAGAAGAACAGTCGTTATCAGGATTCCTCCAGGCCCATCAACTTCAGCAGCGACGCCGAACGGGTGGCCCAAGTTCAAGACGAAATTATGCGGAATTCGCATAAATCAAAACATTCAATGCTGAGGTGTATTTTCGAATGATCGATGAATGTTCAAATAAATTGTTCAGCAAGTACAGGGACATACCCTAGACGCCTCGGTCACCAGATCTCACAGCATGTGGATGTTTCTTGTGTTTGTTAAAGTTAAAGTAAGATGGTGCAACTCAGCCTTTGGGTCCGGTTGTAAGAGTACCAAGAGTTCAACACGCGTCATAAAGATGACATTGCCACAAAATAGGACATTGCCTCCAAGAAATAATATCCGCATTATTAAACTCCGGTTTTGTTTAGTTTTATTTGTACACCTTTGAAGATGGGAAACCCCTTGAACACCCTTTACAATCAAGCGCTAAAGTATTAAACGAAAGTTAAATTTTAATGCGACTGTAGCTGTAGTTGATAACAATTTTGAAAATATTTAATTTGTCACCTAAGTCCAGAGGTGGACTTATTAGAATGATGATGACGAAGATGATTTTGATAAGAAATAAGGAGTGTTTCATTCATTTACCCAAGCTTTGGGCCTCATAAGAAGGCTCAAGGTCACCTAAAGAGCGATGGAGCGTGCTATGCTCGGAGTTTCCCTGCGTGATCGAATCAGAAATGAGGAGATCCGTAGGAAAACCAGAGTGACTGACATAGCCCGCAGAATCGCTAAAATCAAGTGGCGGGGCACATAGCTCGAAGAGCTGATGGCCGCTGGGGCAGGAAAGTTCTTGAGTGGCGACCACGAGCCGGAAGACGTAGCGTGGGCAGGCCTCCCACTAGGTGCACCGACGATCTGGTGAAGGTCGCGGGAGGTGCCTGGATGCGAGCGGCGCAGGACCGGTCTTTGTGGAAATCCATGGGGAAGGCCTTAGTCCAGTAGTGGACGTCTTTCGGCTGAAACGAACGAACGAACGAACCCAAGCTTTGTGTCTAGCGATACACAACAAGACATGTGGTCAAGATTTCTGTGACAAAACGTGCGTGAAATCAAGATTTCATTATTCTTCCCAAGGGAAGAATAATAAATCATAAGATAAATAAATAAGGTAAAAAAACATCTGCCATTGACTGTACGAATAAAATAACGCAAAAAATGCACGTCGAAAAAATAAACATCTTAAGGATAATTACCAAGCCTAGGTAGGTACTAACCTAACCTAAAATAAAATAAAAATAAAAACTTAGGCCCGGTGTCCACCAAAGCGAAGCAGTGCGGAGCGGAGCAAATAATTTTTTGAACAACCAATCGCCATTCACAAAACTATTATTTGCACATCTCTATTCCGCTCCGCTTCGGTGGAAATGGATTGAGTGTTTGAGTGGAGAACATTTGGACATTTTACACTACGATTCTAGTCCGAAACTACGCAAAACTTGTACAGTCGACAGCACATCAAGCTATACATTTTCGTTGCAAAGTCGCCCGTATCGCAACTACGTAAGATACCACAGTGTTTACGTTGACGTGCTGTTGACCGTACTATGGGTATAAACATACTTAAATACTTCTTTTTTTTTGTAAATACATACATATTAAATATTAATTATACATACATAGTAACACCCAGACCCGTCACAGAATTTAAAATTCATCATTTCAATTTCCGGCTGGTCGGGAATCGAACCCGGGACCTCTCGGCATAGTGGTCCGTTCCGAACCACTACACCAAACGGCCAACAAAATAAATTGACGGCTGTTTAAAAATAATTCGACAGCGCCGGCGACGCGCGGCGCGGTGAAGAGCAGAGCGGTGCACTTCTCCGCTCGATCCATTTCCACCGAAGCGGAGCAGAGTGGAGATGTGCAAATAATGGAATCTGATTGGTTATTCAAAAAAATTATCTGCTCCGCTCCACACCGCTCGGCTTTGGTGGAAATCGGGCCTTAGACTGACAGCTACGCACAGGTCACACATCGCCTCTGGTCTCCGCACCGCTACCCTCTTCTCCGCTACGCTTTGGTGGAAACCGGGCCTAACTGATCGTTTATTTATTTTATTTTATTTTGTTTTATTCAGAAATCAAACAGCTAAGTTAGATAATTAGTTGGAGCTTGTTATTATAAAACTATTAAGACTGAACGTGCCAACACCGATCGTCATTGCTTATTTCAAGCTCGATCCACAATGGCGTTCTTAGTACCGATACTGGTATGTGTGGTGTGTGTGTTGTTCTCTTACTATCTGTGGAAGAAGAGTTGTCCTGACACGGACAACGAACCCCCAAAGCTTGCTGGCGGCCTGCCTTTAGTGGGGCATGCACTTCAACTCATAGGAGACAGCAGCCGTAAGTTTTTCTTTCATCATTCTTAAAAATTGTAACAAACTGAAGGGAAGTTTGGTAGTCGCGGCAAGTGCAGTGTAGGGTACCGTAGTTGCCCGTCGTTACTACAATATCTTTCAGAAGCAAGCAAATACTTCAACTAAATTCACTTGTAATGTTTTCTTCTAAGGATTTTTTATTATTAAGTTTATAATACATCAGTTGAACGAATATATTCTTTAGGGGTCACTTAAAAATTTGGGATTTGTGGTGAAAACGGGCATTAAACTAACTAATATAATCTTAACCGTTATACGTTACTTACACTGTTAACTAAAAAGAAAGAAAGAAATATTGTTTACCAGTGGCCGCCCGCGACTTTGTAAGTACGCGTGGATCCCGTTTTACCCCCTTATGGTTTAGTTTATTAAAATTCGTTCTTAGTTAGAATCTACGTTTTATTAAAAGGAATCCCCATCTAAAATTTGAGACAGCTAGCACTTGTAGTTTCTGAAATTTCGTGATGAGTGAGTGAGTCCGTCAGTCAGTGACCTTTCGCTTTTATGAATATAGATTTAGTGCAAAATCATCATAATTATCATCATGCAGAATTGTGTACATGAACTTGTAAAATTTTTCAGATCTGTGGCGTGTCGCAAACGATTTTGCGAGCAAGAGTTACGCTACAGGCGGGGTAGTTGCAGCTTCACTTGGGCCTCGGACTGTTTATGGTGAGTTCCATGATTTTACTAGCGGTCCGCCCCGTTTTCGCACGGGTAGATATACTCATAGGTATTTATAAAAAAACCGGCCAAGTACTTGTCGTGCCACGCGCAGGGTAGAGTTCCGTAGTTATAACCGTTATAGTTTTCCTTGAAAGTTCATGAAAAGCAGTAATATTACAAATTTTTCCAGATTTTTCAAGCCAACAGTTTAGTTTTTAGAGGGGGGGGGGACTCCCTACAGTCCCTACTCGAACAAAAATTGGCACTTTAAACTTTAATAATTTGCAAACAGATCCCTAATTGGAAAAATAGTCTTAACCCAGATACTCCTGAAACTTTTTATCCTTGTCAATTTTTATAAATTTTTAGTATGTTTCTAAATAGAGGTCAAGTATCCACAGAAAAAATTTAGAAAAATTCTTGGTCAACTGGAAAAGCCGGAAAATGGGTGGTGTTTTAACACCTGGTCGGAGAATGGACTACTACTACGAGAAAAAATTATACTATGATTTTGTTAGGTTTAAGAGTTAAAAACGAGTTGTAAGTTATACACATTTATTTAAAAAATACCAAAATCTTATTCAGAGGAGCTAGAAGGGGTGGAGACATAAATCATAACCCAGGATAATTCAGTACGTGACGCATTTTTTACACCAAATTGATTTTTTCTTGCATATTTTACATGTCAGTTGCATTGCATGTAGTACTCTTAAGTACAGTAGTACATACATAGGGATGTAAGCTCCGTAGACCCTGGTTGTGGCGCCATTCTTCATAAATATTGTTTCGAGTATAACTGCTTTGCCATGTATATTTTAGACATTTTGGCACAAACTTTAACAGAAGGTACTTGCACTATATTGCATTGTTGTAATAATTGTGATTGCGGTAGGTACTTTCATGGCAGAAGAACTAGCTGCATTGGAGGCATCATTAGATTCATTTCGTCTTACTTTAAAAAATTCAGAAAGCGGGATGTTATCCTCTTTGTCTGAAGAAGACTTGTCGTACTGTACTTCTGCCTCGGCTCTAAGTTGAGAACCTGGTAATTCACGAAAAATAGCAATAGAAAACTTACACGCTATAAGTAACTGTAGTTAGATAAACGGAAGCAGGCTAACCTGGAAGATTTTGTAAGGTAACGTGGTCTTCTTCACCAGAATCTTCATCTGTTGCTTCTGCATTAGCATTTTCTGGTGGTAAAATTGCTATGTAATTCGGTATCTGATCATCGTCGTCAATGTTTTCTAATATTTCCAATATTTCGTGAAGTCTCAGCGGTCTTTTATATCGTGGCCTAAACTTTTAATGAATATACAAGTTAGACGTCGATTATGCGACCAGGTGTTAAAACACCGATCGTAATTTTGTCATAAAAAGTCTCAAAAATGTAAAGCTTTTCAAAAACATAAGTTTATAGTTTTGTAGCTAACAGTAGTACCTAAAATAATAACTAATATAATCTGAGGTATTACTAGCAAGTTTATGAAATATCTTAGCTTTTATAAGACGTTTTTGCACAAAACTAAATAACAGAATTCAAAATAGTAAAATACTAACAAAATAAAGCAAATATGCGATATCGAACATACTCAATTACAGCTTGATTCGTAATAAGGAGAAAATACAAGGAACAGTAAATAAATTCTCTATATTTTTATAATTTATCTGAGGATATTCCGAACTACTTTTTAGCGGTGTTATAACACCTGGTAGGAGTAAGTGGGTTAAAAACCCCTAAGCCATTTTTAAGACCTATCCAACGATACCCCACTCGATGGGGTAGAAGATGAAAAAGAATTCATCCCCACTTTACATGCAGGGGAGCTACCCTAAAAAAATTTTTTTTTTTCATAATTTTATTTTACCATTTTGGTCGGCGTGATTATTACACATACCTCCACAAAATTATAGCTCTCTAGTGCCAATAGTTTCCAAGCAAAACCTCGGACAGACAGACAGACAGACATATCGAAACTATAAGGGTTCCTTGTCAGGACTACGGAACCCTAAAAAGGATATAAAACCTACGAAACTACGCACCTCGCTAGGATGCGACTCTCCCTCCCACTTACCCGACACCTCCCCGCGTTCGCCCTGTCCGTACCAGAGCGTCGATGTGACGTCACGGCTGTCAGGTGCTCAGTTAACTCGACCGGGTTATACTGGTGAAAGCACAGAAAAACTTTAAACATCCAACAGAAATATTTTTACAAAAATTACATAATTGATTCAGATAAGATAGTTAAGATGAAATGAAACAGCTCATTTCATAGTTTCTGATTTCTGTTTCTGATATGATGATGATGATGATGATGATGATGATGATGATGATGATGATGATGATGATGATGATGATGATGATGATGATGATGATGATGATGATGATGATGATGATGATGATGATAATGATGTGGTGCTCCTCCTTGATAAAAAACGGGCTTAAAAGTTGTTGATTTTGCAAATTGTCCCACTGCTTAGTAAAAATAATAAGCAGTGTCGTTTTGTATGTCTCCAGCGTCAATTTGGAAGAATCATAGAAAGTTGCTGAATCCGGCCTTCAGTCAGACTGTGCTGTGCGGCTTCATGGGTGTATTTAATAAACAGGCACGGAAACTGGTAAAGGAGTTGGAGAAAGAAGCAGGGAAGGGCCCCTTCGACCACTGGACGTATACCAAGATTATTGCTCTTGAGACCATATGCTGTGAGTATAGACTATATAAAGTCCGGTTGCCGATAGAATTTCGTCCAATGACTCCAAGCTACCCATCTATATCACTCGTAGCTACGTAATTATATGGCTGTCGCGACTGTACGACGGGCGGTCGCAGTGAGTGTGCGAGCGCGACAACAATATAATTAATTACAGGTGAGCGATAAGGCAAGCTACCCAGCTTGGGATCATTGGACGAAATTCTATCTGCTTCGCGACCGGACTTTAACACTGTTCCTATTCAATTTAAAGTAAGTAAACTTACTGAGAACATTTTGTTCCTTTCCAGCGACAGCCTTTGGCGTGGATTTCACAGACTCTACGATCCGCAACAGCCAGTTTGTGACAGCTGTGGAGCAGATGTTAAACGTCATAATGGACCGCTTCCAGAAGTTTTGGCTGCACAGCGAGCACACTTTCAAATGGAGGAAGAAGAAGCAGGACGCTTGTTTGAAGATACTGCACAATATGTCTGACACTGTGAGTACCTACAACCCGATAGAGTTAACTGGGTGGGTAATGTATTTTTTTTCCATGCAATCTGTCTTCAGGAGTACATTCAGCAATATTTCTGTTTATTATTCATCAGTGGAAATTGGGGTGCATATCCTGTGACATGTCCTCATAATTAGAGCAAGTCTTGCGGTACACTTTTTTTAAGTCTCCGGACACTCGGAATTAAGTTATACCACAGATAAATAATACTAGGTTATACATAAGGTCATGTGCCAATATGTTTGGGTGTAGCTGCAGTCTGTCTTTATATGCCTTGGCTCTTGCTTTTATTTCTTCCTTTACTGTTTTGATCTCAAGATCGTGGTGCAGTCTTTCATTAGTGACATACCACGGAGCGTCCACTATCATTCTCAACATTTTTGACTGGAATCTTTGTCGTATTTCAAGGTAATGTATGTCGGTTTTTTTAACCAATGTCATTCTTAACGTTATTTATTTGTAGGTGCTCAAAAGAAGAAAAACTGAATTCGACAACAACAACACACTCCCTGAAAGAACAACTGGGAATACTTCAGGTGAGCACATTTTAATTCAGGGGGAGAATTTGATTCGTATAGCACAAAAAAATTAAGTAGCCTCTATAAAAATTTTAAATTAACTCTGCCACTGTTTCGGGAGAATAATGTTAACCTCGAAATTCTAGACAAAAAATTCAAAGCCCTCATGGATCTACTCCTTGAGTTATCCGTGGAGAAGGGAGTGATGAACGACAGGGAGATAAGAGAACACGTGGACACGATATTTGTGGGCGGCTTCGACACAACTGCCAACGTGTTAATGTTCACACTTCNCACACTTATACTGCTGGGATCCCACCCTGAGGCGCAGGAGAAAGTCCACCAGGAGTAAGTATCATCATCGTTAACATCAGGTACTTAATCATCATCATTAGCCTAGGCGCAGACCACCGATTTTTAGTTGGCCAATAGTTGGATCGGGCTGTTGATCAGTATGGAGATGTATGAAAGTGCGCACATTACACCGATTTTCTATCGGCCGATTCTTCATACAAATTAAAATCGGACCCAACTATCTGCCAACTAAAAGTTGGTGGTCTGCGCCTGGGCTTAGCCAGAGGACATAAATACTGCTCGACTAAGGCTGAGTTACACCATCTTACTTTAACTTTGACAAACGTCAAAAATCTGTCAAACTCCATACAAAAAGCACTGGTTACCCTTTTAAAGTTAGGTGGTGCAACTCAGCCTAAGTCTTCACCTACGGATTTCCTTTCACAACGACCGGTTCTGTGCTGCTCGCATGCAAGTGCACACTAGTATCATGTTATCTGTGTCGCGACCTTCCCTAGATCGTCGGTTCACCGAGTGAGAGGCCTGCATGTTTTATGAAAATAACTACATTTGTTTTTGCCAGGTAAATGGAGGATTTGACCTACACTCTACAAGCGCAGCCAGACGGGTTGGAGAGTATTCGTATTTATTAGTTATTTTGTTGTAAGTTTTGGCTTAATATAAAGAGGTTCTAAATCGACATTATTTTTTTTTAATATTATTAGCAATTTGTATTGCACAAATTACTAATTGTCCTGTTAGCCCCTCGTGGTAAGCTAAATAAGCTTGTGTTACGAGTGGGCTCACCACAATAGTTGAGCGGCAGTGGGACTCGTACTCGCGTTCCTCGGATCTCGAGTCGGCCAGTCCGACTCCTTCACCGTTCAGCTATCGTAGCTATAAAATATTGTTTAAGGTACAAAAATTGTTACCCATATTATTTGTTTCAACTACCAAATTATCTATACCTTCCAGATTAAAAGAAGTATTTGGTGACTCAGATCGTGACGTGGAGAAACACGATCTTTCCCATCTGGTGTACTTGGAGGCAGTCCTAAAGGAGAGCCTGAGGCTATACCCGATTGTGCCGGTGCTGGCCAGGCGGCTGGACAGAAATGTGCAATTGAGTAAGAGATCACAGTCAATACTGAAACATAATGCAGCAACAATAATGTTATTTTTAGGGCACTGCACACACTTTGCTTTCAGCTAAAGGGCGTCCACTGTTAGACAATGGCATCCCTCAAGGATTTCCGCAATGACCAGCGTACCAACCAGGTACTTTCCGCGACCTTCACCAGATCATCGGTTCACCTAGTTACCTAGTGGGAGGCCTGCCACGTCTCTCAGTCCGTGGTCGCCACTCGAGAACTTTTCTGCCTCAACGGCCATCAGCTTTACGAGCTATGTGCCCGAGCCACTGCCACTTTAGCATGTCAGACACTGATTTTCCTGCGGATCTCCTCATTTCTGTTTCGATCACGCAGGGAAATTTCGAAAATAGCACGCTCCATCGCCCTTTAGGTGACCTTGAGCCCATAGTAAGCGACCAGGTCTCAGATCCTTAATATTATCACTGGCAACACACTGGTCAAATAATTTTGCCTTGGGACAAACTTCCCGAACGCTGCCCGGCTGAACTAGATTTGACTAATGAACTCTTTCTTGAAGCTGGATCTACCTAACTGGACTGATTGTCTCAGTGTAATAATTGTCAACAGCTTCGAGTGTAGAGTCTCCAACCTTCAGAGGAGTGGATGCCACCGGACATTTGATATACATCCCAAACGTAGCATATCTTAATAGATACCACTGCGTGCGGGACAATACTCTTCTGGCTGTAGTAAATTATCATCATCAGCAGGATAACACTTCACTTTTGGTCTTATTATGCCCAATATGCGTGAGTTTACCATGTTATTGGCTTGTCGCATCCATATCCTGCTGCAAATTTACACAATACATGGAACTACTATAGGTCTCCTTAGGTGGTCTTATGAATTGCGTTGTCTAAGGACTGAAACTACGCGATCATGTATCATGTTCTTAACACCCATAAAACTTTCAGAGAACTACACGCTAGCAGCTGGTCGTTCCTGCTTCTTGTTTCTGTTCAAGAATCTCAAGCACCCCACGTGGGGGGCTGATGTGGACCAGTTCAACCCCGACCGATGGTTGGACCCATCCACGCTGCCAGAAAACTCCAACATGTTTGCTGCCTTTGGCTTAGGAAGGAGGATGTGTTTAGGTAGGTTTTTCTTTCGTTCGTTCGTTTTAGCCAAAAGACGTCTACTGCTGGACAAAGGCCTCCCCCAAGGTTTTCCACAATGAACGGTCCTGCGCTGCCCGCATCCAGGCTCTTCCCGCGACCTTTACCAGATTGTCGGTCCACCTAGTAGGGGGCCTGCCCACGCTATGTCTTCCAGCCCGTGGTCGCCCCTCGAGAACTTTTCTGCCTCAACGGCCATCGTCTCTACGAGCTATGTGCCCCGCCTACTGCCACTTGAGTTTAGCAATTCTGCGAGCTATGTCGATCACTTTGGTTCTCCTGCGGATCTCATTTCTGGTACGATCACGCAGGAAACACCGAGCATAGCCCGCTCCATCGCCCTTTGGGTGACCTTGAGCCTTCTTATGAGGCCCATAGTAAGCGACCACGTAGGTTTTTATAATACTAAAACTTGTTTTAGGGAAACTAGCTATTGGCCGCGTGAATTTCAGTCTCAAGTGTCAGCATTTCATCACCATTTCAATGACTTAGTCGCATCAATTTAGTCGCACGGTGCTTTCCAATTTACCAGAGGCAAATAGAGGAATTAGCAAACACTCCTCACGTTGGCCAGGCGGGTTAGGGAGGCCTGATGTTAGTCGACTCTTCCAACATCCACAGAAAGAATGAATCTGTTCTATTCTACTGTTCTACTCTGTTATTAAAGAGATTACATACGAGTATAATTGTATTATGTATTTCAGGCAAAACCTACGCGTACATGTCGATGAAAACAACCCTCGCTCATGTTCTCCGAAAATACCGCTTCAAGGGTGACCACACACAACTAGAACTCAAATTGGACGTGATGCTGAAGCCAGCGTCAGGTTACTACGTCAGTGTTGAGAAACGGCATTAGAACTAGTCTGTAGAACTTTTGTAGATGTTTTATATCCATTAGGGCGATTAAAGTCGAAATAATGTATTTTAGAAGCGACACAGAATCGTGGAGTCGCGGCGACGACAACATAATCTAGTCTAGTCGCCGCCTCTAGTAGCCACGATTGTCGCCCAGGTTGTACTGTCGCTATAAAATAAATCTTGATAAGTACTACTTAGATTTTTTATTATCCAAATTATTACTTGAACATACTTATGCTTTAACTATCATTGAGAAGAAGCGTAAAGTACGACCCGCTTGGTCGTTTTGATAATCTGAAAAAGAAAAATTGGTTTATAAGTCACAGTTTGGAAGAGCTTAGTAAAATAAATATTTCCAAACTAACTATAAGTATTAAGTACTCGATTAGTTTAGTTTAGTAGTTGCGTTCTGGTCATAGAATGGAAATATGCATTTGGACGTTCTACCTAAAAAGAAGTTACTGCTTTCGAAATTCTAGGTACCTACTTTATCACTACATTGTCTGCGTGTTTCGCAGTGTTAAGAAATGTTTTAATGAGAAAGTGTGGAATAGCAGACGGCACGTAAGGTGCCTTCCACGTGCTCGCAATTACGATGCCCACTCAACCGCGCGATTTCGTGCAAAAACGCGATATCCATAATGATGTAATGTATAATGTCCCTGAGAATACTCCAGATGTGAATACTGTTGTTGTATGTTTGTAGTTAATAGAATCAGTCTTTCCGGTGATTTCGTAAAAGACGATTTTAAGGGACAAATACGCAAAGATCAGACCTCATTACCTCAACAACTCCTCCGGACAGCATGAGAAGTGTATATAACTTAACTTAAGGTCCTATGTCCCGTAGATGGGGCAGAGGGCGTCCACAACAGTTCTCCATCGCGTTCGGTCTTGAGCTTCGCGTTTGATCTTGCTCCAAGTCTTGCTGATCTTCTTCGCCTCGTCTGCCACAGTGCGCCGCCACTGGAGCGACCACGTTTGCGTTTTCCTTGGGGCTTCCAATCCAGATCATGAGAAGTGTAAACCTATCCTCTATTTGCCTCTTATGATGACGATCGCTTGAAGATACTTATTTCACTTATTATTTTTTTAAATAAAAATAAAGGTTAAAAATACAATTTTCATAAAAATACAGCAAGCAATGAAACAAAAATAAATCAGCAGTGGGTTCTGGCTGGTGGATTCTGTAGTAAAATCGACGAAAAGTACAGTGACAGTTTTCTAATGGAAAATACCGTCGTCTCGGCTACAATAGTGTTACCATAGGACTTCCACCTTCCCGATTAACCAACGACCTTAAGAAGAAGCAGCTGTCTTCAGGCAGTGGTGGTGCAATTTGTGACGTTCTTTGGGGCTAATAAGTATCAGCGGACTGCCATTGACTGAAAAAATGATAATGATGAAATATCAATTGCGGCACATTGCGGTGTGTAAATATGAGTAATATTCAAAACCAGTTCAAATTAAGTAGCTAATAAAGGCTTGCAGTTACTTTAAGCAATTGTAGATACTACCTATACTAATAGAAATTTATTTTCTAGAAATTCTACATTGCCAATTGATTGGTATCTACTAAATTATAGACAACATAATTGCTAAGAAAGTGCAAACATGAAATTAAAAATAACCGAAGCTGCAATCAAAGTGACAAGGATCTATGTATTAAGCAATTAACAGAAACTTGCAATTAATAGCTAAACGTTTACCAAACTGCATGCATTTTTTATGAATGCACAATGTGGTTTGTTTTACACAATTCTTTCAATATTCACTTATTGCTACTGCAAAGAGATGACGTCTACACAAGCAAATGGAAATAGAGTAAGTAATGAAATACCTAGTAATTTAGCTTTAGTGAAATGAAAGAGCTAAGTTGCCGTTACATTTAAACAGTTAATTTTTAAAACCATAGGTCTCTTATAACTACGAGTTTTTTTTAAATTTTAGCGTTAACGCTAATTCTTAAGAATAGCATCTCAAACGAATACTTGTGACCGTCATAATTAATACTTTCAGGTTTACTCCCGCAGTGATTACGATGAAACATACAAACTCATCATCACAAATATCTTGGCCATAGTAGGAATCCGTATGACAAGAAAGGACTCAAAATATGCCAGGTAAAAACCTTTGCTCACGATAGAGTGACGTCACATCCCCCTGTGACTCTCCCCACCCCAACAGTCTTCGACGTGGTATCGCAGTAGCTCTCGGTTCACTTTTGCCTAGGCCATCACTGAGTACACTCGCCTAATTTCACAATTAACTTAAATAGGTGAAAATTGTGATACAATACTTACCTATGTAATAGGAGAAATAGAATCCCATACAATCAAGCATATCACAAATTAAGTCCATTTGAAAATTTATTAACCCAGCTAGGTAATTTATGAGCTTGGAAATGGGTCAGTCTGTAACTTTCTGCTTTCCGTCAAGTGATATTCCAAGAGCTTTCTCGTTGTGGATAAAAAATAGCTTATGATATTGAATTTTCAGGCTCGGTTGGAACGTTTTCTTCTGTTTCGGATTCGGAAACATGGTGGTAACTCTGTTCCTGGACCTGGTGACCTTCCAGGATGTGGTCAGGAGTGGTGTCGGGGAAGACGGGTACATAGTGTTTATGATGTTGCCCTGTATGGGGTATATGGCCTTAGGTTTGTATGGTTGTAAAATAGCATCTAAGTATTGCAACTTTCTAAAACCTAAATCTGGTACAGTGATTGCCGTCATCATAGACTTGGATGCATAAACTCGTACCTACCTACTTGATAGGATGCTACAGTATAAGATTTGAAACTTTCGTGTTCCATTTCAACTAAAATAGTAAGACACGGGGTACGAACGCGACGCGCCGCGAACCGCCAGTCTGCTTGTGACCACGGCTGCAGCATAGCAGCCGAAACGTCAAGCCATGAGTACATAATGTGTCTTACTATTTTAGGATGCTTCAGAGTTGAATACATGAGCCGTATTTTGTCACTCATTGACTCAAGATTGGTTCTATGCCTGGCCTCCAATTAAATGGCCAATAACTGTAACCAAACCAGGTACATTATGCAGCCACAAATTGTCTCCATTGATACCTAATGAAATGCCGGTCAAATTGTATAAAATAAGTAAGACCTACTAATTTGACAAACCTTAGTTCTTAAGTTTTATTTTTATTTTATTTTTCACGTTAAGAACACAGTCTGAATTTATATTATAATAACATCTCTTCGTGCAGCAATGCTAAAGACATACAAGATGGTATACAAGCGAGACGTGTTTGAGAACTTGATTTCTGAGCTTCGGGAGATGTGGCCTGAAGGGCTTGTGACGGAGGAGGAGCATACCATCATCAGAAAAGCTCTCAAAGAACTGAACATCATCGTTAAAGGTACTAACATTGTCAAAGGTACTTAGTAAGTAATGCAATGTAAAAACTTGTAATTTCCGAAAGGAAAATGCATGAGACCTTCGTAATTCTTCAAAAAAGCTTCTCCACTAAGTACTGAATAATTATGGAGAAGTTTAGTGTCCTTACTTGCCTGCATTATTCTCTCCTTACCTTAACCCGTTAACAGATCATTTCATCCACGAAGACGCGCCCCACCAATTTTTGGAGTTTGATCCGAGCAATCCGAGCGTCATTATTGTAGTGTGCGTATGCACTCATGGATAATTTAGCGTGTACCGATAACACTCAAACATTAGCGGAAGAATGGTGTGGCGCGTCTTCGTGGATGAAACGATCGGTTAAAAACTGTCAAGTCGTGTTGGAAATCATTGGGGGAAGTCTATGTTCAGGAGTGAACGTTCTGTGGCTGAAATAATGATGATGTGCTTTGTAAAAGTTATAAAAACCTCTTTGTTTTTCAGGGTACTACTGGTGCAACCTAGGCCTTGGGGTCAGCTTCATGGCCCCCTCATTCGTAGTGGCCATCAGGCGCATTTTCGGAGCTGACATCCCTCCAAGCTTACCGTACTTCTACTGGCTTCCATATGACCAGTCCCAGCCGGTTGCCTACGAGTTCACTTTGGTCATGAACACTTATCATAGTAAGACTTTGGCAACCTTGTGAATAAGTTATGGTACAAATCTATNAATGAAAGAGCTAAGTTGCCGTTACGTTTAAACAGTTAATTTTTAAAACCATAGGTCTCTTATAACGACGAGTTTTTTTTAAATTTTAGCGTTAACGCTAATTCTTAAGAATAGCATCTCAAACGAATACTTGTGACCGTCATAACTAATACTTCCAGGTTTACTCCCGCAGTGATTACGATGAAACATACAAACTCATCATCACAAATATCTTGGCCAAAGTAGGAATCCGTATGACAAGAAAGGACTCGAAATATGCCAGGTAAAAAATTTCACAGCACGAAAGAGTGACGTCACTATCAGATTGATCGACCTCCCCCTACGACTCTCCCCTCCCCTCTCTATGACTCCCCACTTCAACAGTCTTCATTGTAGGTAGTATCGCAGTAGCTCTCGGTTCACTTTTGCTTGGGCCGTCACCGAGTACACTCGCCTTATTTCACAAATTAACTTAAATACTCGTACGTGAAAAAATTGTGACAAAATAAGTAGTAAGTATATGTAGTAAGCAGTACATTGGCTGTGTTGGGATTAATAGAATTGGTATTGGGAGCAATGGAATCGCCTTAACTAAAAAAAAAAAATTTTTATTTACTTTTACAAGCAAGTACTTACATTAATCTAAGGCTGGGGCCTACCTAGTAAGTATATGGATATACCTGTGGCAGGAGGCCCCGCTCTTCTTACACTGGTTACGATAATTTAAGTACATAGGTAACTAAGTACTTTATAAGCTTGAAAATGGCTCAGTCTGACAGATTTAGCTTTAAGATATTGTTTTTCAGGCTCGGTTGGAACATTTTCTTCTGTTTCGGATTCGGAAACATGGTGGTAACTCTGTTCCTGGACCTGGTGACCTTCCAGGATGTGGTCAGGAGTGGTGTCGGGGAAGACGGGCACATAGTGTTTATGATGTTGCCCTGTATGGGATACATGGCCTTAGGTTTGTACAGTCGACTGCACAATCATTATTATTTTAGGTTGCTAGCTAAATTAAAAAGATGCTACAGCATTGAGATAGATATGCCGTAGTCATCTACGTACATCTTTGCCGTCGCCACAGAATT